GGGGGGGCACAGGGCTATGAAACAAAAAACAAACTAAAAGATTTACTGCACAGTAAGGAAAAAAAATCTTGTTCTTCAACTAGGAAGAAGAATGAGAAATGCTTTTTATATGATTGTTCAGGGAAACAAATATCTTAGAAAAAAATGGTATAGGAGAAGCAATAAATACACATTTTGATAGATGTATTCTTGTATCCCCTTCTCTGGCTTGGATTCATAAGAGTATTTAATTACATTTGCTTTAATTTAAGTATGCACTTAAGTGCTTCCCTGAATCAGGGCCTCTCAGTATGGATAACACAGAAATTACAATAGCTTTTCCCTTTGAAACATAAGTCCCTTTCTTTGTGCTCTACAATTTCATAAACATCAAACAATACAAGTAATTTACCAAATGCACCTCACATTTGAAATGAAAGATCTAATTTGCCCCCTCTCTACATTTGTCAATTATGGAACTGATACATAAATGTTCAGTGAGCCTTTATATTGGGTAGTAGATAGGCCTAGCCTTTCCTCCATTTCCCCTGGAATAATCTGGCGAAGTGCTATGCTGGTAACAGGGAATACTCTGTCTTTTAGGTGGCAATTAATTGTTCCTACTGCATGAATAGACCCAGAGCTGACCCTAGTGGGGTGCAGGGCCCAGGGCAAATCCAGTGCTGTAGCATTGCCCCATGCGCCCCAGACGGCACACAATCTTCAGTGGAAGTAGTGGTGGGGGGAGTGGTGAGCGGCTGGATGTGAAGCCAGCAACAACGTGCAGTGGTGGTGCAGAGTGGGGCTAGGAGGGGCTGTGGCTACTCTGCTTGTCTCCACAGGGCCCCCCCAAACCATGGGGCCTGGGGCAGTCACCCCGATTAACCCCCCCCCCATTAACCCCCCCCCCCCCAACAAGGGGCAGCTCTGAATAGACCCATCATGCAAGAGGTGGGAGATTCTGGACAAGCCCTGTTCACCATCCCTCTCAGCATCCATACTCTGATACTGAGCTAGATGGACCTATAATCTAACCCCACCATCTAGGATGTTAGCAATGAGGATGTGGCCACATCCCCTTCTACTGTGTGGAGTATTCACAGTGAAGAGAACTCATTGTGCATGTGCATTCAGTCGTGCATGGACGTTTGGTTCCTTGGGGGAATCTAGTGGCAGTGTACCATGTGCCACTGCTAGTTGTCATTGGAGAATGCCTGTGCCACGTGCACTCTGGAGCATGGCAAGTTACCCCAGGTGGGGTAGGAGAGGTTGGGACCAGCACCAGGCTGGCCTCAGCAGCCTTTCCTGGGGTCCTGGGAGCCTCCTGGGGCTGCAGCAGCAGCGATTCTGCTGTGTGGAGCCTGACTGGCAGTGGAGTGCAGCTCTGGCTGGCCAGGCTCTGGCTTCAGGCGGTGCACACTGCCCCCGCATGTGCCACTCCGCCTTTTTTTTCTGTGTTTTTCTGAACCCAGGGGTCAAAAAACCCCTCCACGCTGCTCCCTTGCAGCGCAGAGAACAACTGAACATGTGGTATGTGGCACTACAAATGTGTCTGCGCTGCAACATACCACACAGCCGTGCTTGTCTGGACATAGCCTATGTGATTTCAATCCTTTGATGTGATCCTAGATGCCCGTGAGCTTCAAGAACTCACTGGCATATCAGCATAGCTCCTGGTGGAGCTTTTCCCCTTCTCCTTCCCACCACTTGGGGCCAATTCAGCAGCAGAGGAAAGCAAGGGTTGGGGATCACTGCTGCTGCCACTCATCTTCTCCTCCCCACTGCTGCTGAATTCAGAGGTGCGGGGAGGGGGGCAGGAGTGGTGGAGGGAGGGAGAGGAAGAGCAAACAGCAGCAGGCTCTGGAGCTGCCTGAAAGTAGGGGCTCTAGGCAGACCAACTGGTGTGCTCATAGCGTTCCCAACACATGTGGAGCTCCCAGTATTAAATAACTGGGATACTATTGCACTATTTACAGTAAAAAAACCAACCCCTTACTCTTGCCTCAGATCCTAGCATCACCATTTAGCATCTGCAGGCCAAGTTTTACCAGCAACTCAACATTTTTGAGAAAGAAAT